TAGGCGACAGATAAGTGACGGTAAGGAATGCGAAGTCTTGCAGCTTAGAGTTGGCATAAGTAAAATCTTCTTTTAGAATCTACAATTTTGATGACATGACGTGCTGTTTAAAAACCACTTAACAAAAGTGATCAATGAATGATTAGGCGCAAAGAATTAATAACGGGGTGCGCTAGTGCATAATTTACACTCCTTTGGTCTCCAAAAGGGCGCTAAAACAAATGTGTCACGATGAACCAAGTAAGCAATAGGTAGGCTGGCTTCATTCGACAAAATGAAATTATAGAAATACTAACTGTGCTAAGGCCTACTTTGTCGTTCGAAGAAATATTTCACAACCAACTCTGCTAGATACGGGATGGGAGGTCGTGGGTCAAAGGCCGAGCTACCGGGGTCGACGGTGACAGCACCGATTTCGAAGAAAGGGTAATCAGGACACCGCAGACACGCTTCCTGGTAGGCATGCATACAGTGCAACAAGGAAAGGCTATCCTTTCCTCCAGACAGACAAACTAGTACACGATCTCCTAGATGGATAATATCAAAGTACTTGATGACCTAAAGGCGACAGGGAAATCAAACTAAATTAGGAAGGGCATAGGATCAAACAAATAAACCAAAACGATCGACGTACTTTAATAAATGCCCTGTAGAGTTGTTTGAAAGGACGCTGCCATGATGTTCTCTCAACCCTCTCGTTGCTAACCGAAACTTTGGTGAAAGATGAGAGAACTTTCGGTCCTTTAGAACCCTTAAGAACAACCTCTAACTCGTTAGGATCTCCACTATTCAACCATTCCGCTGCGCTATCGGGGGAAGTAGACTTCAATGTCAGGTAGGTGTTTTTCGTAGTGGATCTATCATTAGCGTGACTGTTGTTTTCCTGTTGGAAGTTGTTTTTATGCTTCGCGTGAGATTTTGGCTCATTGTGAAGGGTACTGAAATTGGGAGACATGGGCCTGGCGAGAGAAAACAGATGTTGCGGCGAAGAGGAAGTAGGCCTTCGATTACGATGGCGCGGAGATGTTGATCCAACAAGACTCCGATGATGCGTGGCATGTGATGAGCTCTTGGCGGCCTGATGGTTGGTGGGGGATGCTGCAGTAGCTGTATTGGGTCGATGAGAGGGCGAAATCTTCTGAGAAGTAGCAAACGCTGCTGCATTCGTACATGGATCCATGGTGCCAGGCTTCCAAGGTGAAGAGGGTCCGGTCGAAATCGCCAGTTGGTCTAGAGGAAGGCCCATAAAAACCACCAGGCATTATATTGAAAACTTTAAAACAGATTTCATTTGGCAATTCAACTATGTTTAGCGAATAAAAGAAGTACCACTGAATGCAAACATTACTAGCAATCAATTAATGTATACTTATTTCCCCGCGCATTTGTGCGGCAGCTTCACAGGGCAGAACAAACCAACGTAGTTTCTGGCTGATCGCATCGAAGTTGGCGGTAACATCAGGCACTGGAGAGACCTCTGCAGATTTTACAAAATCGACAGCTCGCTTGAGTTCCACTTTGGCGGCCATAAGACACTCCTAGCAATGAAGACCAACTAACCTTATCACATCGTCGAAAGTTGCAACAACTTTAAAGCGGCTAACTCATCTAAGCAAACTGCAACGATTCGCGTGCCACAAAAATGGGGGCACCAGGACTAGTAATTTGCTTTTTGTAAAATGGGATTGCACCTTTGAAGCGCCTTAAAGCAGAA